CATCAGATTCGCCGTGTTTCTCAGCTGGGCGCGACCACCGCAGTGACACAGCCGCCAGCGAGCCTACGGGACACGGCCCGACATCGCCGTGACACAAATTACCCCGGCCGTTCGACTCACTCGGTCATCACTCCTACCCGAGGGCGGGACGCGTCGACGGCGACCCGGTCCGAGTTTTGAAATTCAAATTCGTTGGGGACGCGCTATCTGCGAGATGGATTCAAAGCTACATAGTTACACGCATTGGCCATGCGTACCTTGTTTGTTTTGACAGTGCGTGCCATTTGAGCCCGTCGATTCATCACGAGGCGCCGGTCTCCGCCCGAGGGACGCTCGGCTGATGTGAAGCACAGGTGAAGCTGCACGTGTGTGCGGCTGCTCCGTGGTGTCTCCTGTCGTCCCTCCAGCCGCGGCTCCCGCCTGCCGATGTCGCGGGGAGCGCGCCGCTCCGACGCCGGTTCCTGTTTACCGGCTCGCGGTGCCTCATTCCGCGCACGTCTTGCGGCCACCGGCGTGTCAGTGGGAAACATGAGCCGAGCGGGCGCGCAGCGCGGCGTCAGACGTACCACCGCGCCGGCGGCGGCCGTCTGGGCACACAGATGGGGAGAGGGCGCCGCGCGGACCTCAGCCTGCCGACATCACCGCGCTCCTCGCCGTGCCGGCCGTAATTGATTCTGTGCTGCATTCCTGTGCAGTGACCGGCAGCGGCAGCCTGCGGAGCTCCGACCAGCGCCATGGAGACTGATGGGACACTCGCCAGGTCAGCATCCCCGGACCCCAGCGCCCGCCGCCGGCGTCCAAATCAGACAGTCCTACTCTCTACCGGCGTCAGCGCCGGGCCCCGAACCGTCCCTCCGAGATAACACGGCCGACCCACCCTGATAGCACGCCGTGTTCGAGATAACTCGCAGGCCGTGTCCCGGCTCTAAGTACCGTGTCCCGATTCTAAGTGCCATGTCCCGCGGCGCCCGGATGGCGGCTGATGACGTGAGATGACGCGAGATGACGCACGCTAATTTCCTCATCTCACGACCTAGTGTGAACCGGCGAGACGATGACCGTTTTCCCCTGCTCACGTCTTGCACCGTCTCTCATGTGGTGCTGCCTCCATGGAGATCTTGTCAGGTGACTGACATCATCTCTGACTACTGCGGTGACCGGCAGTGACCTCATGAGACCTCCGTGGACGTCCAGTGGCAGTGACCCCTGCCGACCACCAATAACCTCTGTCTGTCTGTCGTCCGTCAGTGATGACCGGTGACCACCCGGGACTGACCGGTCTCGCGGTATCGTCGTGCCTTACCTGGCCGGGCGGACCGGTCCGCGGCGGTGGGCTGACCGGGATGACCTGGATCGGTCCGGATCGGTCGCCTGTCCGCACATATGCCGCACCGGTATCGGAGGTGACATCGCTGTCCGGCGTCCGCCCACGCGTCATGGCTGTATGTTTTGTATAAGGTCATCTCTCATGCACACACAGCCCCGCCGGGTGCCTATCCCGGCTCCCCGTCACCTATTCCGGCGTATTCCGGCGGATATTGGGCGCTCGGTGTGGTCTCTCCGGAGGTGTTGGCAGTGCGGCGCCACTTCCTCTGTGGAACGCCCGTGTGCGCCGACCTTATCGTGACCGGCAGAGGTGTGTCTTGGTGGTGGTTTGGTTGACTGGTCGTTCACGGAACGCCCTGGGTCGAGTTTACCTCTGCTGTGTACCCGTGACTCGTGAGCTAACGCCCGTTTTGACCTTCGCTGCAGCTGAAAGAAAGAGAGAAAAAAGAGAGAGAGAGAGAGAGAGAGAGAGAGAGAGAGAGAGAGAGAGAGAGAGAGAGAGGGAGGGAGAGGGGGAGAGGTGGGTCTGTGGGGTTTTGAAAAAGAGAGAGGGGAGGATGGCTGTTGTCCGCGCGCGGGGGCACGGGGCGTGACCGATATCCGGCCACCAAACGGGGCCACTCAACCGCCCCCTCCCACGACGCGACCGGGGACGAGAGTGCAAACAGACGACAAAAAGCCACTTCAGTTCGTTCGGCGCGCTGAGGTGAGGGCCGGCTGGCCGGATGTCACCGGACAGCCATTGGACCGAGGGGCGGCGGCTGCCGGTTCTGCTGTGATGGGTTGAAAGATTCAGCTACCGAGTCGGACATAGTAAAAACTGAAAAGAGGAAAAAGTTTCATTTGAACATGGCATGACAAGTCATTTTTATTCTTGTCAGTTAGATAGAACCAGGTGTGGAGTTTGACATTTATAACATTTCATTTTAGTCCCGTCATATTTCCGTTGTTCCTGTCTGCCGCAACTGCCACGGGAGTAATTATTCGTCGGTTTATCGGGCCATTATCATCCGCGGCCCAGCTGTGTCACCGGCCCGACACACCACTTTCCGGGCTCTGCCACACGGCTGACGGGCTGCTGGTCGCCCGTCCGCAGCACCGCGCTATTGTTCTCTGCGGCGGCAGGCCGAATGACGCCCTGTTGACGCCGCTGCAACACGGCATTGTGGCGGCGCTGGTGGCGCGTGCCGGGTGATTCGCCGGGTCAGGTGGCCCGCGGTCTGCAGCCGACCAATTGAACATCCCCCCCCCCCGTCCCGCGGGGCTGCAGCTGCCCAGCTGGGTGGAACGAGGGGCCGGTGTCAGGGATGACGGATCGACAAAGTCGAATTGATCGGGGACTGTGCCAAACGGAAACGCGTGTCCGGGAATAAATGGGTCGGAACTGGGGGACCGAACTGGGACGGTGGTGCAACTCTCCGTTCGTGATCACCGGATCCAGCAGTTCCTGTTGTAGGTCATGGCGCGCGCAGGGGCTCCCCGGTCAGTCAGCTCTCACTGTCTCACACTCTCCCCCTCTGAGGTCACCTGATGCATATCTGCGACGGTGACCGACGGGCCGGGTCGACCAGAGCGGTGACCAACGCTGACCATCACTGACCGGCGGGGCTGTCCGCCGTACGGAGAGCGGAGAGTCCCGCGCCGAGCAGTGCTCAGCGGCCGCTCGCAAACCGGTTACAGTCTGTTCAGCGAACCCGGCCTCGGCTGAGGGCTCAGCGCGACCAGACAGACCGAATGCACCTGGCGAAAGGTGGTCGTACCCAGAACTGCGGCCTCCCAGCGCGGATTTGCATGCCGCCGGCCGCGGTGACGTCAGACGAGGGCTGCACGCGCGCCGAGAGAACACAAAGGCGCGGCGGAGCGGGACTGGGGGCTGCGGGCGCGGCTGACGGACGGATTTGTTCGAGCAGTGCCTGCGTCAATGAGAGGTGCGGCCCGAGCGGACGAGCCTAATTGAGACGGTTTGCGCTGAGATGGAGCGTGGGTCGCGGTATGCGTGCCGGCATCTCACAGCTTCAGAGCTGACCGATAACAATAGCACCAATCTGAACGACGCCTACCAGCGACGGCAGGTGTTCCGGCTATCGGCCGAGAATCACTCCATGTCGTGCTGTTACTATTAACGCCATCGTATGCGATTACACGCGCACCGCTCGCTGGTAAGTATGCCATCAGCCGCGCGGGGACCTCGCCGGGAAACTAATCACCGTCGCCGCGTGCGCGCCGGAATCGCCGCAGCGCCAATTTACGCTGTCGGTTGCTATCGGTCAGTCGCTCGACGGGGGAGGCGAACGCGGCGGGATGGTGTAACGGGCCGGACCGGCGCCTCCGTTCGCCCCGGGGAGGACCGGTGGCGGCCGGTCGTTCCGATGGTTATACGACTGGGGCAGCTCGCCGACCGTAGGAGCCCGCTGGACTGGGAGCGGCTCTGTACGATCAAGCACCCGGGCGGCTGGTATAGGAGCTGGTGCAGGTTTGGACTGCGCTGCTCCGAACAGCTGCCCTGCCGCGTGGAGAGGGTGTGAATGATGGAGGTGATCTGCCACGGATTCACACACCTGGCCTTGCAGCCGCCGCCGGCGGGGCTGAGACCCTCGGTATTATACGGCGCAGACGCCGTCACGGCACCTGAACACACCGGCGAAGGAAGTGCGCATCGTGTACGGTTTCCGGAAACACGGTGTTCGCTTATGAGGGCCGGGTGTCGTCGATTCAATCCGCCGTGTTGTCGGCTGTAACAGTGTGTCCGCTTCCCGATTGGGCCTTTTTGCTGGCGTGTTTGCGTCACCGTCGCCGCCAGGCGCTGTTTTGCTGCTGCCGTTTCCAAGGTTAAACGCCACTTTCAACTGGCTGGTCGGTTCGGCTCAAAGGCGCATTTGCAGCGCCCATCTTCCCACTCGGCTGGACGTGCTGGCCCGTCCGCCTTCTGTGCGCGCCGCAGTTCTCCGGTGAATGCTAATTGAACGGGGCACCTCGGGCCGGCAGCTGGCCGCTGCACGAGCCGTCGAGGCGTGCAGCGCGCGGCGAGAGAGGACTGAAATATCCCGCAGTGTGAGCGTTCCCAGGGGAGCCGGCCCCGTCCGCTGCAGCGGGCGCGAGCTGCCGTGTCTGTCGGGACAGCGGTTGTGTGGTGATGACTGAAACCGTGCGGTTGTCACCGGACGGTGGCAGCTCCCACCTGCCACTCGTGTAGCCCTCCTGCGCCGATTTCCTGCCTCGGACGCGTGCGATTGCTTGACGGGTGACTTCCCGTCTCCGCTCAGCTCTGTAGCGATTAGTGTCCTGGCCGCGTGGCGTGCGCCCGGTTTTCCCGCGCGCTCGTCGCTGATTCGCCGTGAATGACACAAGTGTACTCGGTCATCGCCCCTCGTGTACGCGAATAGCCCAAAAGCCCCTGCTCAGGCGCAAAAAAAGTCAACGCCAGACTCATATAACGTGGAACGGGTCCCGTCCGCATGTCGGCAAAGCCGTGCGGCTGCATGCATGACGGATCGGCGGCTTATAAGCTCGAGTTGGCAAACAAGATCTGTCTGATATGATTGCTCAGCAGCCCTGTGTGGCGGCGGCTGTGGCGGAACGGCGCTCCGTTTTCGGTCACCCTCGGTGTGTTGTCAGGCGACCGGCCGGCTGTTGCGGTGATTTGTCTGATCTGACGGGTTGATCCTCCTTTGCAGATGAGCGGAGCATGCTGAGGTTCGCCGGTAACGTCTCGCATAAGGACCACTTCCGACTGCTGGAGAACGACGGCAGCTCGCTGCTCATCGGCGCCAGGTGAGTCGGCGCTCTGTGCTCTGTGTTCTGCGCTCTGTGTTCTGTGCTCTGTGTTCTGTGCTCTGTGTTCTGTGCTCTGTGTTCAGTGCTTGGTGATCAGTGCTCGGTGCTCTGTGCTCTTTGCTCTTTGCTCACTGCTCAGCGCTCGGCGTTCAACATTCAGTGCTCATTGCTCAGTAATCGGTGCTGAGCGCTCTTTGTTCTGTGCTCAGCGCTCAGCGTTCGATGTTCCATGCTGAGTGTGCGGTGCTCTGTTCAGTGTTTGGTGTTCAATGCTCGGCACTCGGTGCTCGGTACCGTGGTTTATAAGAAAGAGCTCACACACGCCGGCGGCAGCCGCGCGCCGAATGGTTCTGGTGCTCCGTTCACGGGCCCAGAGACTGGCCATGGCGGCTCGTCGATCCATCGGCTGCCAGTGGCCGTGTGGTGGTCAGTCCGGGAGCCGGGAAGGCCCACGGCCGGCGGCGGGACGGGTGCATGGTCAGGACATTACCACCGGTGGCTCTGTCTACCTGGACATGGTGTCTGATGGATCGTCCGCTGGAACACTGCGCGGGGATCAGCTCTTGTGAGACGGCGCACCTCTTCTCGGAGCACCTGTCCTGTCTGCATAAGCGCAGCTCTGATCATATTTCCTATCATCCGTACTGGAATGGCACTGGAATATAGCGCAGTAAGCTGCTGAAACAGGACATCGTGGGTAATAGCGCAGTCAACTATACTAACTGTCCTGCCGAACTTTACACGGGACTATTTCGACGGTGCTGGCCGATGGTGTCTGAACCTTTCCCATATCGGATGCCTATTATTCAGCGCGGATCGTACTGAATGCCGTGATCTCACTCGACTCTGATCGTGAGGCGTGCCGATCCTGTCAGATTGGAACGGTGCCGTCATCGTGTATGGTATTTCATAACGCTGATCCCAATGCACAACCGAACTTTCGCCTGTGAAATGGGTGCAGATTACCTGAGATTGCTCCGATAATTTCTGCAGCCGGCGCGGACACTCGGCCGTTCCCGACTTAAATATCTGTCTGATTTCTCCTGGGCGGGGTGTGTCATTGTCGCTCGCCCGACTAACTATTCAGAGAAGCGATCTATTTTCAGACAGATAGCGGTTGACCCGCCGATCGGGCGGGCCGGCCGGCGATATTTCACGTTGGGCCTCATTCCCAAACGGTTCTCGGCAGCCGGCGAGGTAACGGCTGACCGTTTAGAGCTGCTCCCGACTCCCACACCGCTCGGCCGGAGCTGGGGGCGGCCCCAGCGACCGCAGCCCGCCCCTGGCCGCGATCGGCCGTGTCGGCACCGATGGGCGTCGATAACGACGCGATTTGTCGGCGCGTCGGGCGATAATGGAGGAACGTCCGGCGGCCGGCGTATGCTGATGCCCGCGGAACGGCCGACGGTTATCGCCCACCGCCGATATAGACGTGGGTATCTGCGGCCTCATACTGGACGCTAGACAATGAATGGAGCGTCAGGCCACGGTAGAGCCGCCCAAACAGTCACCAACAACAGCGGTCACGGACACGGAGCTCGGCTCCGGTTCGACCCGCCCCGGCCGAACCTCAGAAGGTCGCGACCCCGCCCTGTCTGGACCCAGAAGGTCGTGAGCATGGTTTGGAACGAGACGCTTCGGCCACAATGCGACTGCATTGTGTTGTGTTGATTGTGTTGCAATCAGCTACACTACGGGACAATGGAGCGCTGCACGGCAGTAACTCGACAGCAGCGGCCACGGCGGTGACTTCCTGTCTGCACTGTCCCACCCAGTTGTCTGTGTGTCCCAGTGCTGCTCCGTGGTCCGTCCGTGCTCGCTGACCGAGCGACGCGGACGGACCGGAACAATCGCCGTGCGCTGGCTGTCGGTCGCCTGCACTGGAGCGGCTAACCAGGAGGAGGCGGCCCGAGCGTGCCGCGTGTCAGACTGTGCACGGACCGGTGCACGTGACCACCGGGCGCAGAGGGCTGATGAGATAGGAGAGGATGGTCGCGGCGCCACGCACTCTGCACTCCTTAGATACCGGCTGTTTGTGTGTATTTGGGGAGGGGGGATACGTAGCTCAGTTTGAGAGACAGGAAGTAGGATGTAACTCTGTCAAGCAACCCGTGTAGTATCATTCACACGTCTTACGCGCCGTCGTTCCCCCACAGGAACATCGTGTTCAACATCAGTCTGACGGACCTGACGGAGCGGCGCGATGAGCGACTCGAGTGGCACTCGGAGCCGCAGGACGTCCAGCTCTGCATCATGAAGGGACTCGACGAGGTAATGCACGTCGGACAGACACATACAGACACATTATTCGTACACTTGGCAGCGGTATGCACTTTCGTATCCCTCGAGAGGCTCAGGCTTTCAGCACTAATGGACGTTAAACATTCTTTGTAGAATAGCCGGCAATGTTTCTGAAGTATGCAGTGAATGCCTTTCTAACTTGACCAGAGGTCTCTGTAACTTTGATCGAGCGCCTAAGCCGGAGGCGGGGTACCTACTACCTTGGGGAGCGAACCGTCCCGTCCCCCTCTCCTACCGCGTAAGCCGGCTGAGCTGGTCACCCTGGGGAATAGCCACGCTCCGAGCTACATTCAAAATGCAGGACGTGTCCACCATTCACCGTTCATCGGAACATTAACGTAATCGCCGCGCCGGAACCTGGGAGTCATCGATCGCTTAAAGGGACCCTCCCACCTTAACATTAGTTTTGAGTTGAGATAGCCAAGTTTGCGGCCAGGCTCAGAAACCACCATTTATCCTGGTCGCAACCCCCGCAGCTTTATGGTGTTCAAGAAATTTCTTCCCTTAACTTGCAGGGTGGGACCAGCGTGGTCCCTATCTCTTAACCATTACGGGAATCTGATGACGTCATCAGGCTTTCGAACGTCCGTTAAATGTTTGACTAAAACGTTTTGTAGCACGCGGTGGTATATGCTGCTTTGCGCGCAACAAATGCCGCACTGTCACATAAAGTCGCTAGGAACAGCGGAGATCCCAAAAAGTAAACAAAAGTAAAAGTCTAATATCTTGAAAACCGGTGAATATTTTTCGATGAAATTTGGTAGATATTCGTTTTTGCTCTTTCTGAACCGAGCGACATCACTTTCATGCCAATTCATTAACTTTTTTGAAGGTGGGAGGGTCCCTTTAAGGGAATGTCGGCTGTCGATAGAGTTTCACTAGGGAGAGTGCCGTCCGAGGTCGCGCGATGACAGCTCGGTACTGTATTATGTAACGTGTTCGGCGTACGATAAGCTATCAGTCCCTTAGGGTCCGGGATGGACATCACTCTCGTCACAGGTCAGCACTGCAGGGTTGTGCTCGACTCAAAAAAATTTGCCGACTCGACTCATCATTCAACTTCAGAAAGCCCTGACTCAACTCTGACTCAAACAAGGAGCTGAATTTTTTCCCTTGACTCGACTCATGACTCAAGCGGCTCAATGAAAATATGAGTCGACTCAAACCTGACTCAAATTTTTTGTTGAGTCAAGTGAGTTGACTCAAAATTGACTCAGATAAAGAAGTTGTTGAGCGGGGGGGGGGGTGAAAAAAATCCGGCAGCAGAGCCAGGGATAAGTTGTTAAGCGGGGGGTATGAAAAGCTTATATATATATGTATATATATATATATATATATATATATATATATATATATATATATATATATATATATATATATATATATATATATATATATATATATATATATATATATATATATATATATATATATATATATATATATATATATATATATATATATATATATATATATATATTCACATATATAAAAATCAAAATGTCTGTACGTATGTATGTATGTATGTAACGCGTCAGTCACGCTTGGCGGGCTATTGCTCCGGAACGGTGCGGGCTACGGGGGTGAAATTTTGGACATAAGTCGGACGCGTGCATCTGTTTGTCGTATTAAATTTTGGTGGGGGTGGGTTCGGTGGTTTGCACGTGGCGGGCGCATCTTTGCGGGATTTTGGGCCGCGGCCGGCGCCGATCAGACGGCACGCGCCTTAGGCTCAGTTTCTTCGCTGCAAAACTGAGGGAAATCAGAGCCGGCAGGTCACTGACCTTTGGCAATGGATACCGGAACAGAGCACCGCCGGCCAGGAGGAGACGCCAAATTTATTCTGGCCATAACTCGGCCGCTACTGGGCCGATTTTATTGAAACTTGATTTATTACGCTGCACGTAATGCTGTCCCTCTTTACGCTGCGCGTAATGCTGTCCCTCTAGTTACATATATAAAAATCAAAACGTCTGTACGTATGTATGTATGTATGTATGTAACGCGTCAGTCACGCTTGGCGGGCTATTGCTCCGGAACGGTGCGGGCTGCGGGGGTGGAATTTTGGGCGCAAGTCGGACGCGTGCATCTGTTTGTTGTATTAAATTTTGGTGGGGGTGGGTTCGGTGGTTTGCACGTGGCGGGCGCATCTTTGCGGGATTTTGGGCCGCGGCCGGCGCCGAGCAGAGAGCACGCGCCGTAGGCTCAGTTTCTTCGTTGCAAAATGAGTGAAATTAAAGGTATTATCAGGGTTTTTTCCAAAATTTCGGACTTACTCAGTGAAACGTGTAGAAGAAGGTGACTGAAGCCCCAATCCAAAATCATTCGTCTCAAAATTGCCTAATTTTCCAATGGTGGGCCTCCAAAGTTTTCGCGGCTGCCAGCCGCGTAAACTTGCGAGTACTTGGTGGTCCATCTCTAAACGCCCATAGGGTTTACACTAGCGGAGACTTTTCTAAATATTTCTAGGGAAAATATAATGGATCTAGGGAAAATATAATGGATTACATGCTCCATTATATTTTCCCAAGACAAAATAGGGAAATATAGCATAGGTCCGTAACACAACGAACACAACCTTCTTCTCATTCTTCTCAGCTTCTCATTCTAGATATCCTGTGGGTTATCAAAATAATTCAAATTAAAAAATTGTGTTGTGTGCGTTCAAACTAAGCTCATCCCGAGTGTAATTCAAGAATGTCTTAGTTCAAGTAATTAAACTTGAAAGTGATATAGCTCAAGCAATGAAGAAGCTTGGATGGAACTAGTGTTGAATCAAAGTTACCTATCATTTTTAATGCTAAGTGCTGAACGTTACCAATAATTCGAGACATCCGTTGTAAGATGTATGACGCAGATCAACTTTGATCAAGTGAAGATTATAGATTTCAGATGAAATAATGTCAATGTTCAAGGCTGAGCGACTGGCAGATTTCGGAGTGAGCACAAGTGGCCTTGAGACATTCTGTTTCTGTAGGTACTCAAAATAAATAAATTATCATGTTGTGTGCTTTGAGGTTAAGTGTTATCAGTGGTGCTTCATGGTTGTGCTTTGTTGTTGGTGTATAGGCATGTTTTGAGCACATTGCAGCATGATATTGGTGGTGTGTAAAGCAACTGATCTCCGCAGACTTTGCACTTACTTGTAAAGCCTGCGGACTGACTTTGCAGACTTTGGCTGACAATGAGCAATGCATTGCTGACTGATATCATTTATTCTGTGTTTGTAGCACAAAGTACAGAAGTGGCACATACATTGTTACTTTGAAAACCTGATGTGAATTTTGATGTAGAAAATTGGTGGCTGACGTTGAGTCCTGACGTATTGTGAGTAGTGTACATCTGGTGCATTGAGCGCAGACTTGAGACCAGTGACGTTTGTATCAGTAGACTGTGTTTGAGTCTACTTATATGGGTAGTCATAAAGCAGGCGTCACACTTCTTTTTGCAACCAAGGAGATGCGCTATACCCAGAGATGCTTTCTCACCAAACCTTACCAAACCAAACCTAACCTACAGCGCCTCTCTTCGTTCGTTCATGGTTGCAAAAAAACAAGTGTGACGCCTGCTATACTACTACCCTTATATGGCCTTGGTTTGAGTGTGGTGACTGAGTAGGCTGGTGTGTATAGCCATGCAATAAGTGTTTTGAAATATATTTTTGGGACAGTATTGAAATGGTGTGTTTTGGCCATCTGGCATGGATGATGGAAAGTCACTAACTCAACTTCAGGAACGCTTCTTCATTATGCTCATCTAAAGCACAATGATCTATTTTCTCTTCGCAAGGATTGATTCCTAATTCACTGTCAATTATAACCTGGGCCAGAAGGTTTCGCTGAGCCACGCCCACCGGGTTCATACAGATTCATCCACAGTGCTCAGCAGTGTATGTTTTCAGATTTCAACAGACTGTATTTTTTCTGTATGTACATATGCATCATGCAAGGGTACAACAGATGCGGTATTTGGTAAGCAGTTGGCAGCAAGGTGGTGTTTGTACTTATTGGCAGAACTAGTTGAGCAGGACTAAAACTATCCTAGTTTCTCTCCAGTTTACTCAGATCCGTCTCAACACATTGAACATATTGAAAGCGTTCATCCATGAAATGTCTGCATGTATACTCATTTCCGAGAAGGCACGCTCGTCGCTCATCCATTGCCGAGCAGGCACGTGCGTGCCCATCGCCGGCGCGCATTAGCGCGCGTCCATGGCTGGGGCGCACGCGCGCGGCCATGGCCGGCATGCACGCGCGCGCGCCCATCGTCGGCACGCAAGCGCGCGCCGCGTCCTTACCCGGCGAGCACGCCCCGTCCGTACCCGGCGCGCACCCGCGCGCGTCCACAGCCGGGGCGCACCCAAGCGAGTTCGTACCCGGCACGTACCGGCGCGCACCCGCGCGCGTCCGTACCCGGCCCGCACCCGCGCGCGTCCACTGCCGGCACTGACAGACCCTGACAGACGGGCGTGCTGCCGTCGGCGGTCCTGACAGATGAGCGGCGGGCCCGGCTCCCGCAGCTCCGGCAGCGGGCGGCAGCCATGGTCGGCATACACGCGCGCGCGCCCATCGTCGGCACGCAAGCGCGCGCGCGTCCATAGCCGGCGCGCACCCGTACCTGGCGCGCACCCGCGCGCGTCCGTACCCGGCCCGCACCCGCGCGCGTCCACTGCCGGCACTGACAGACCCTGACAGACGGGCGTGCTGCCGTCGGCGGTCCTGACAGATGAGCGGCGGGCCCGGCTCCCGCAGCTCCGGCAGCGGGCGGCAGCTCCGGTGACTGTTCCGGCAGCTCCGGCAGCGAGCGGCGTCTCCGGCAGCGCTCAGCAGCGGCGCCAAGCAGCAGCAGCGGCTGAGCCAACAGGCGGCCGCGGAGGCACGCCCCCCCCCCCTTTGCACATTGTTCGTCCATGGAGATGTCTGCAAGCACGCCCATTGTTGAGAAGGCACGTGCGTCCATGGCTGAGCACTGAGCAGGCACGTGCGACCCCTTTGCACATTGTTCATCCATACATATCAATATAATTTACCTTATGATTAGTGTGAGTCTTACAAAATCTTAAACTCAGAAATACCACAAGGCAGGCTGCCTGGGTGAGTTGCTAATATGAACATAATGAACATTATACATTAGTGCAGTACCTATAAGCATCCATGCTGTGTGAAGGACTTGGCCCTCACGTTCATTCGTTTGGTGATTGCACATGGTGGCATGTGTACCAATTGTTCTCCCTAACCCTTCTTACAACTTTGACTAGCAAGTAGAAGCTGGCAAAATGCAAGGAGCTTACAAAGCATGCCTATCCTATATGTAGATAACTGAGGATGATTCTCTCAATTGAAGCATGATCCGCACTCAGCAGCTTCTTCTGTTCTGTTCCACAAACTAAAACTGAAATGCCTCAATTTTCCTCAAAATATATTCATTTATCACTCATAAACAACAAAAATATACATGAAGTAGGTACCAGGGCAATAAAAAACATACAAGTTACATATTTTTTCATGTACCGTCCTTTCACAGCAGCAATATGTAGAAACGCACCAAGATGTTCACGGAGAGCCCACCCATAACAAACTATAGTTGAAGCCGGGGCTCTGCTGCAGCAGCAGGGGAGACGTACAGGACACAGAGGTCATGTCACAACATCATGTTGTACAACCTGTTGTTCGAAAAAACAGATCAACATAGATCTTGAAAAACTGTAGGTAGCGCTTTCTTCAGTCACTTAGGTAAGCTTTCTCGCAAGACGTTACATTAGATTGACCACTCTTGACAAAATAATCAGATTGAAACTTAGCTCTTGTGCCTGATGCACTTACATTTCAATTTATTGAAATAAAACACTCAAATTTACCCTTGAAAATTGTTGACATTTAAATGATATTAATCAAGATTTGATGATCAGCAAACAAGCTCAAGCTATTCAAATCACACTCAAATCAAAATAATAACTTTGGCAATGTTGATAACTCTTGCTGTCTTATTGAAAAGCAAATCTTCAATTTGTTCATATCCAAATTCAATGCCAAGCACTGAAATCTTGTTGCAAGGCCCTAAAAACAACAGACAAAAACAAAACAGACAAGGCCCGTCTTGTGGAAATCGACAGTGCGGTGCGGCGGCCTTGGCGAAATTTCCCAAGGCTGCTCTTTGTTTACATTTTAGTGATGGGCCAACTTGGCCGCCCAAGTACTTGTTTTGCGTGAGTAAGTACAATTTTGTCAATTTTGAAACGGCTATATCTCGCAAATTTTGGTACCGATTTACATTTTATGCATATATTTAGAATCGGCAGAGTCTGGGGAGTTCATTGATTGGAAATTTATGCCGATTCCTTTCAATTTTTAAACCCTGATAATCCCTTTAAAGCCGGAAGGTCACTGACCTTTGGCAATGAATACCGGAACAGGGCACCGCCGGCCAGGAGGAGACGCCAAATTTATTCTGGCCATAACTCGGCCGCTACTGGGCCGATTGCAATGAAACTTGATTTATTACGCTGCGCGTAATGCTGTCCCTCTAGTTATATATATAGTTTCTAGAAAGTTGAGTCAGCTGACTCATGTTCCTAAATGTTTGATTCAACTCAATGTCAAAAGCTATTTTACTGACTCAACTCTGACTCAACTCAACGCCTTAATATTTTTGTCCGACTCAACTCTGACTCAATTCAACAGCTCAACCTTTTATCCGACTCGACTCAAATCTGACTCATTTGCGTCGAGAGTTGAGTCAAATTTCTGACTCGACTCATGAGTCGAGCACAACCCTGCAGCACTGAGACGACACCGAACAGCACTTTACGCCTTGTGTTGTTCTTCGAGGGCCCTATCTCATCATGTATCTGTCCCCACAGGAGGCGTGCCACAACTACATCCGTGTGCTGGCCAAGCGGGGGGACGACCAGCTGTTCGTATGTGGCACCAACTCCTACAAGCCCAAGTGCCGCCACTACCAGAAGCACCCGGTACGAATGCGCCTCACGCTGGCTTCTAGTTAACGTAACTGTGCTTTTATGTAGCGCCACCGCTTGTTTCCTCGATTTCTGTGGGAGACCAGATGTCATTTGGGACGTTTTTCCGGCTTCTGTCGCTAACATTTAATTTCAGACGTCTCCGGAAATCCACAGTTAAAACGCCATTAGGGAACGAGCGGCCGGGATCGGGCCCACAAACGACACTGTGATAAATGGAGCGAGTGTCTGTGGCCTGTGGAGCGGCGGGACAGAAATTTGGACCGCGGCGTCGGCTGGGCGCTCTCAGTCTGACACTGAAAGATTTGTTCTTTCACCGCGGCCCGACCCCGTGTGTGCGTGTTAGAAGGACGTGGGTCTCGTGTGACCTCCCTCCGGAACGTACCGGCGAGGGTAGTTTGGAGCCGTGTCGTGACGCGGTGATGACATGTTTCAGGACGTCGGCTACCTGCCCAAGGGAGGCCAGCGGGACGGTCGCGGCCTCTGCCCGTACGACCCCAACCACAACAGTACTGTCACGTTCGTCGGTGAGTACGTTTGTCCCCTGGCGGCGCTCTGTCCCCCTCGCTGACCACTCTGTCCCCTGGCGGCGCTCTGTCCCCTCGCTGACCGCGGCTCTGTCCCCTCGCTGACCGCGGCTCTGTCACCTCGCTGACCGCGGCACTGCCCCTGGCGGCGCTCTGTCACCTCGCTGACCGCGGCTCTGTCCCTGCCGATCGGCCGCCGTCGGACCAGCCGACCGGTCCCACTCTCTGACCGTCGCGTCTCTCGGCGTCATCGGCCGTGACCGGCGGTCCGACCGCCCCGCACGTGACCGGACCTCCTGATGAGGCCCACCGTCCACCGACCGGTGACCGCCGCGACCTGGCCGCGCTCGAGTCACCTCCAGAGCGGAGCCGGCCGGCCGCGCCAGGCGAGCCATGCGTCATCCCCAGAGAGCAGGAAATACCTGCGCAGAGGAAAAGCCAGATGGATGACGGGGATTGACGGCCGGCTGGCAGGCGCGGTGACCCGCCCTGGTGGCCGGTCAAACATGAGAGGGATGCTGGAACGATTGCCCGATGTTCATTGTTGATAGCCATGGCACATGACAGCATTCGGTGAACGTCGACATGCGGGATTAAGCAGACATTGCGCCGTGCGACAGACATGAGAGGCCGGTCTGGACTGACCTCGCCTGGAACCGTGAACCGGCCTCCGTGCCTAACAGCCTTCCATCCATCCCCGCGGCCCCGGCCGGCCCCGGTCGGTGTAAATTGTGTGGCCGAGTGGGCGCGTCTGGGTGTTGACTGGGAACAAATGGAGCTGTTGTTTGTTCGGTGGCCGAGGCCGCCTTTTTCAGCGCCGTCTGGGCATTGTGCGGGCCCACGCGCGCGGACAGTTTGAACCGGTCTCGCGGGGCGGCGCGGGACGGCGGGCGGAGCTGCGGACGCTATCGGTCCGATTGCCGGCGTCCACTGCCGACTGGAAATATCGCGCCCTGTAGGTGATTGGTGGCCGCCGCTGTCAGCGCCATTCGGAGTCGATTGTGACCGGCCGGCCGGCGGACCGCCACGGAAGGGACGCCCATTGTCAGCGCGTTACGTCCGCCGTTTTTCCTGTGTCCGCGGGGTCATCGGTCACACCGGTGGCACGGCAGCACCATCAGTAACCGGCGTCCGCGCGCGCTGACCTAATGGCGCGGCGCTAACTACAAACCCGTGTGGCGGTCGGGCCGGCGGCGGCACCGGTCACTGCCCTCGCGTCAGGCGGGGCCGGGCCTGCCGACCACCGCGCCGTCCGACCACCGTCCGACCACGGGCCACCGCCAACAGCCGTCAGCTTAGGGAGCGAGCGGCCGCCGTTTTTGCGGCAGCGGTTGTACTGCGGTGCGTGTAACGGCGGGCGGCGCGGTGGTCGTGGCACGTGCGCGCCGTGCCGTGCGTGCCGCCCTGTTAAAGTTGGCGTATAGTCGCCAGCACACGGCCACAACAGTCCGTGTGTTTGTGTGCATGGCTGGCGGAGATGCCGTCGACTGAACTCGGATACACAGACGCACACGTGAAACATGGCGAGTCGCTCAGAGCGACCGGCGGAATGGCGCACTGGGCCACAAATAAACATCGAGACTTAGCCAGAAGTGCCAGAAAGCCAGACGTGCAGTTCCAGGAAGTTCAGTGCCTTCTGTACTGCCTGTTTATAGCAGGTATCCTGTTTATTTTTAGCTCACTGACTTCGTAATCGTATTATGATCGAGCAGACATACGGTCGTATCAGTGCTTATGGTAGAGTGATAATCATCGGCAGTTAGATAATTGTGATCTTTCTGACTCGATATTGTGTTCTTTCAGACGGAGAAACGTACGCCGGAACCGTGGCTGACCTGGCCAGCTCCGACCCTCTCATCTACCGGGACAAGCGGCCGCTGAGAACCGACAAACTCGAGCTCAAACAGCTCAACGGTGAGTACCCGTCTTCAGACAATTTCTGGCGCTGTCGGCCGACCGGACGCCCATCTGACCCTATCTTGGTACCGTGTTTAGGGCACTCAGACCGGTGACCGGTGAGAGATACGGGGCCTACCTTGGTCGGGGTTAGCGTCTTCCACTATCGGGCGCCATCGCACCCAGCCAACCGGCCGCCCGCCGGGCTGGCGAGGTAGCGGTAACAAAGTGCTAATGCGTCTGCGTCTGTGGCCGGTCGGGCTGACCGGCGAGGGGACGGGGCGCTGTGACTGACGGTGCGCTACGGTCGCTGCGGCCGCGCCGTGCCGGCCAGCGCCGTCTCCAGTCCATAGACGGATGGGGAGGGTCCGCCGGCCTTGATGGTCCATCAGGCGGCTCCAGAGCGCTGCTCCGGTGGCGACGACAGGCTCGTGCCGCCATCCCTCTCCTCCCTCCCACCCCGGCGGCCGACTGACGGTCCATTGTGAGACTCGGCAGACCATTGTGCGTGCTTCCAATACTTACGGAACGTCACGAAGTGGTCCGTGACGCTCCATGTGACCGGCTGTCATGTGACGGTCGACTCTGACCCGTGACTCGTGATGCCCCCGGTCAAACGTGGCTCGTGCTCTGCGCTGTTACGAAAAGCGATACGGTCAAAAAGCTGAACGGTTTTGAATTTCCTCGTTGACTGCATGTTGTTGCATACGATGGAACTAGGATCGTAACTTCAATACCGGATGGCCCTGGTGTGTTGTGAGCACGCATGAGTCACATTTCAGTGGCAGCGGCTCCGGTTCGGGTTTTTAGATCGGCTTTACGGCGCAGTACAGATTTGTGGCCCAATAACCAGTTGAAACGGCAGCCGTTTGTTCCGGTTTCAGGATGTCCCGCCCCAGATCCGTGCTCGGTGGCGGGGCAGAGCTGCCGTCTCCCTGGGCGGCGTACTGTGTCTGTGTGTTCAGTTGTGTGGCGCAGCCCATGGCGTGCCCGGTGCCGTGATGAGGCCGGAGCCGCAGCCGGGATCCGGGAGCGGCGCTCACCGACCTGGACCCGATACGGCCGTTCGGCAGGCGCGCCGGCCGCGTTTTTACACGCCGATCGACATGCAACGGCACTGGATTGGCCTGTTCCGGTACATTACCGGCTGTATCGCGGCGCGGCTTTAAATGACCGGACTTGTGCACCAGCAACCCCAGGCTTATACCAGCGTCGTCACGCCTGCTTAGCTACATGTGGCTTGTTTTGGTTGGCGTTTGCCTCGTCAGGAACTGGTTTCAGGTGCGGCAGGCAGGAGGACTGGTCGGCGCCCGAATCCCTGCTGAGTGGAGGCGACTGAGCACTCGTGATAAAGAGAATGAACACCGCTGATAAGGGCTCTGAGAATACCGGTTTTTGTCGACGAGAGACAACTTCCGAGAAATGAAGGCGCGATATTTTCCTGGTTTTCGGAAAACCTATTAACGAGAGCATTAGCGAGCAATCAGTTATGTACTCAAAGCTGTCATATCAGCGATGGCTCAAAATTAGCGAATGCAGTTTCTCGTAAATTAGACGTTTTATTGAGTGAGCGCCGTATTTTCTGGTGTCTGTTCGGCCGTTCCTTATTTTGCCGGCTGGGTAGTGGGACCATCGCTCACTGGGCCAACTGCGGCGCACTAGACAAGTGGGTCCATAAATCGTCCGTCTGGGCGGCAATAGCCTCCGACTCGGGCCGGTTAGACGCCCGAGCTGCGCGACCGGCGACATGGTTCGGCGGGACGGTGGGACAGGGATAGGGACAGGGACGGGGACAGGGTCGCGTCGTTCCCGCCGCGACTGGACACGGGCCAGTCCTGGCAGGAGCTGAGTGGTCAAGTGGATGGACTATGCCATTGCCATGAAGGCAATTTCCGAGAGCGGTCTTGATGGGTAGTGCGGGTCCGGCTCGTAGTTCAGTTACTGGGTCAGCCCACGGCTGATCTGTCCTTTCCCGCGGTATCGGCTGTCGCTGTGCTTCTGGACGCGTCAAACGCGCCGCCGCCTGTCGCTGGCACGTGCAGCTCGTGGGGCACGTGGCACACGTGGCTTGGTCCCGACGGTCTGCCCGCCACTAACGGCCTGTCTCTCTTCTCGTCACTGGCCGGCCGCCGACGTCTCCTCTGTTTGGAGTGGAAGCACTCGAACTCGCCGCGACCCGGTACTGTTTGGGGAGGAACAGCTGTCCCGGCCGAGGACAGGGGCGGGGAGACGGCGCACTCCCGGGGCTGACTGACAGCCGTCTGGCCAGAGGAACCGTTTGAATGTTCTCTGGGGCTGTTGACTGGCGACCCGCCGCGTGAACCCACCGAAGGGTCACGTGTTGTGCCCGCTTCCCCGCCTGTCGCTCCGGCATCCCGGAGCTACGGCTGGCCCAGTGGGAGCCAAGTGCTCAGCCGACCCCGTGCGGTTCAGTCACTGAGCACAGAAAAGCTGTTTTTGGCGCTGGGGAAAAGAAAAACAATCAGAGCCGCGCGGCTGCCGGGGTGAACCGGCGCGCTCCCAGCGGGCGGGGGCGTGCGACGCCTGTTTACCGGCTCCCGGACCGGCAAATGGCAGTGTAGAGCTGCTGCTATATTGAGACGGACAGGGACGCCTGGGTAAACACGCCCTCCGACGGGTGACGCGCCGCCGTCGCTGCCGCTGATGGCAGCCATTTACCGCCCATGATCGACGGCAGGCCGGGCATTGAGCAGCGCCATTGGCCCGTAATGAGCGCGATTGGCGGCGGTGCTGGCGGACGGCGTCGGACCGACGGATGACCGATGGTCTGCTGATCGGACAGTATAATGGTCGGTGGTAGCCGCCTGGGGTTGTAGCTCCTGCCCCCTCCTCCTCCTCCCCATTCGCCGCTGTACTCGCCGGTTCGTCTCCCCCGTCGCTCCCTTTACCAGTGGTGCCGACTGCTCGTCTTTCTTTGTCTTTGGATGAGCTGTGTAACCTGTTGTAGTTTCTGTATGTATTTCCACACGGTCGCTCACCCACCACGGGCTATCGCCGACCTCACACTGCCGCGGCCCGCGGCTCCCGTCCACCGCGTGCCGCACCGCGTGTCGCCGCCGGGGAGACATATGGCCGGCACATGGGCCCGCGTCGGCCGAGTCCGACCCCAGCCCCGTCCGCCCGGCCCGGGTCCGGGCCAGACCGATACAGTTACACACCCCCCTGATCTACAAGATCACAAATCCATAATCAGCACAAAAATGCACATAACATGACACAACATAACAAGGCGAATACCTAATAATACACCGGTGTTCCATAGCGCTGTGCCGGGCGACTCTCCCGCTCGGTGCGCCGCAGGGTTCGTGGTGCAACGACTCCTGTTACATCGTCATTGGAAGCATCATTAGCACGAGTGCATTCAGTGCGAGGCGTGACATCAGACATGACACTCACTACGGGGCCAGGACCAGAATCAGCATTATGTGGCTGCGCGGATACTAAAAGTGGCAGCTCATTTTCGGCACCCTCTGTGTCGTCAACCGAACAGTTATCGCTCACGTTGACGGTGCGGTGTCGCACGTTTCTAACATGATGAGGGGTGCCATCAACTACTACTACCTGTGGAGAAACTACTGAGGACACAACACCAGGTTCAGACACGTCCGTGCATCGCGTGCCACGGCGCCTGACCCACACAGCGTCACCAGGGGCGAACTCGCCCGTCCCGCGCGGCGCCGCCGGCTCCGAGCCGTCCGATCCCTCGCGGCCATTCCCACGGCCGTCCGTTCCCTGGCTGCGCCCTTGACCGTCACTGTCACCGACCGGCAGCTGGCGACCAGCTGACCCGACACAGTCGCGCACTGTGTAGCGATAAATCCGACCGACGGGGGCATCACTGGCGCTGTCGCTGTCTCGGGGCGACACATTGTATAGGTGCACGGCCTCTGTGATTGAGCATTGCTTTCGAGCGGCAATAACCTTAACTGTCCGGTGATGCCGTTCAACAATACCGTTACCGCCCGGCTCGTACGCTGCCCGGAACCGCAAAACCACGCCCCATTTCGCCGCGAACGCCGCAAAATGTCGTCCACGAAACACAGTGTCATTATCACAAAGAATCTCGCATGGCGCTCCACGTTCGCATAATATCGCTTCCAGATGCGACACAACATTTTCCGCGTCCGGCCGACGCAACTGCCGCCACAAACCGAACCGAGACGGACCGCAATCGATCACTGTCAGGTACGACTGGTGCTGGTAGTGGGTGACGTCGATGGCCAGCCGCTGCCACGTCTCCGTTACCTCCAGCGATCCGTGACGCCAGGTGACCGGTGCCGGATCGATTGAGCGGCAGACGTCACAGTGATGCACAACAGCACGCACCTGAGACCGAGTAATGGTAGGAGCGATGTCACGACGGGCGAAATACCAGGTGCGGCGAATCCCTGGGTGACCGGCGCGCTCGTGCAGCTCAGCAATAGAGGCGTCCACTGTTGCCCCGGTCGCCACCGCCGCATCTGTGCTGGCGGCCACCGCCGCGCCGACCACCGCGGTCGCACCCGTGTCGGCGGCCACAGCCGTGCCGACTGCCGCTTCCGTGTCGGCGGCCACCGCCGTGCCGACTGCCGCTCCCGTGTCGGCGGCCACCGCCGTGCCGACTGCCGCGGGCCCTGATGTGTCATGCCTCAGCCACTCTTTCGGAACCCGTGTCAGGGCGTCTGCGCGATTTTCGTCTGACCTGACCAGGGTCACTGTCAGCACGAGACCCATTTCGTCTACCAGCTGGCGAATAAGGTCGACACGCCGCCGGATTAACATCTCGCCGTGTGCCTTAGTGCGGAGCCGGGCTCGCCCACTCAGAGCGTCGTCAATCCAGCGGTGGACGGTGGCGGAGTCAGTCCTCAGCTCGATGGTTTGCATTCCCCAAGCGATGGCAAGATTTATGCCCTTCACAGCGGCATCCAGTTCAGCCATGTTTATGTGCGTAGAAGCAGCAGCTTCACGCCTCAGCCAGCAGGCATCCTCCACAGGGCCACCGTCTGCGGTCTCCAAAACAACGCCTGCGGCCAGCGAGCTGGCATCCGTCCACACCACGGCCGCGTCACCTGAGACACACCACACGCCGTGCGCCGGATCGTCACCGTTCACCCGTTCAGCCACATGATCGACCTGCGCCTGCAGCGTACGGTCCCCTGTCATGTCGTCCCAGCCGCGTGTCACAGCATTAGCACGGCGTTTGAGCCAGGCTGTAGCGGGACGCAGCCACCCACAGACCGGGAGGTGGGCCACCAGGCGACCGCACCACGCAAACACACTGCGGCGGGTCAGCGGGCTGGGCGGGGGGCCGACAGGGTTGTCTCGCTCCCAGTGCAGCTCGTCACGCAGTGGGCGAACTCGCAGTCCGAGCAGCCGCGCACCATCAGACACACGCTCAGGGGCCTTGCACTCGAGTCCATACCTGGCGAAATGACTGACAACCCGCTCCGCGCTCGCAATGTCCTCATCTACCAGCAAGTCATCCACATATGAGAGCACTGCACGCTGGATTTCAGGGTCCTGTGCCAGCACAGCACTGACGACCGCCTTCATGACTAGCGGCCCTAGGCTGAGTCCAAAACCTAGCCTCCCCAGATAGAAACGCTGACCACGAATCTCAACCGTTTGATACGGCCATAGACTTTCGTCGAGATGGATCTGAAGGTACGCCTTTTTGAGGTCAACGACCGCCACGTTTCTGCCGTGACGCCGCCACTTCCTCAGCTGATCGGCGCAGACATCTGCATCAGCGGTGTGGGCTAAACGCCCACACCGCTGGGTGGCTGTTTAACTCCCGATAGTCCAGCACTGGCCTCACTTTCTCCTTATTCTTCTGTTGCACAGCCATCAGCGGCACGAGCCCTCGCGGTGGGCCGAGCCGCTGCTCGTCGTATGGCAGCAGCCAGCCGTTGCTGATCCATGTGTCCAGCTCCGTGTCAAATTCGTAGCGGGCGGACCGTGGCACGGAGTACTGGGGCACAGAGTTTTCCAGGCACTCAGGGCCAGAGTTGTCCGCCCACTTCCAAGCCACAGTCCACTTTCGCTCTGCCGAGTCGAACCGCACACTAAAGTCCGGCGCGTCAACTTCGAGTGGTGCACGGGCAGCGGCTCCGCAGAAGCGGACTTGAGACGGTGACTGCACACTGACACCCCCCAGGCTAGAGATGCCAGACATGCCGATAATTAGTTCCACTCCCAGGGGCCGCTCGCTCACCACCAGCACACTCACTCGGGCCCGCTGCCCGGTCACAGTCACCACGTCAGCACTGCCCGAGCCAGTGCATTGAAACTCGTCACCGCTCATCGTCGTCACCGAGACAGGTCCACACTGCCATTGTTCGCAGAACGGTGCATAAATGATGTTATCGGTGCAGCCGGTGTCGATCAGCGCTCGACAGTCTCGCCCGTTGACTCGCAGTTGCACGACTGGCAGAGCGCCGCTCAGTGCTGCACGCGAGAGGACGCCGGCGCTGATTCGTCCTCTCCTCCGTCGTTTCCCGCAGCTCGGCGGGGGCATGAGAAGGACATATGGCCTATATCACCGCATGCCCAGCAGCGCCGCGGCCGGCTGGCCCGGCGAGACGGTCCCTCCTGCGCTGACAGCCGCTGACGGGAGGGGGCGGGGGCGAGGGGTGCCGGCCCGGCCGCCGTCGTCGCCGCCGCCGCCGCCGCCGCCGCCGCCACGCGCTCGTCACTGAGCACAGCTCTGGCGCGCGCCAGCACACTGGCAAGGTCGAGCCCTTCCGCTCTAGACCCAGCCCGCACCATCTGCCGAACCGACTCGGGCAGACCTGCCACAAAAGCGCAGGTCAGCGCACGCTCCGGTACGCCACCAAACAGCTGTGCCAGCCGCTGAAGGTCCGCCAGAAACACATCGGCTGACTCTCCACTGCGGAGTCTTCGGGTGGTGAAGGCCTCGTATGCTGCATGCTGATCAAGCGCAAAAGCCTGGTACAGGCCTGCGCGTATGGCCGCCAAACTGCCACGGCTTTCGTCCGGCAGCTGCGCCCACACGGCGAAGGCTCCGCCGGTCAACCGGAGTGGGATGATCGCTGCTGCATCCACTCCGCGGTGCTGGCAGAGCAGCTCCGCTCTGCCCAGCCATTCGACCACATCGCCGGTCCCATCGAATTCGGCGATCACACGCGCGTCGAATGCGACACTGGGCGCCACCACCACGGTCTGTCCACTCGAGTCCACTCCTTTCACGTCTACAGTCCCACTGCCGGTCTTGTTGGCCATTTTTCGCAATGCCGAAATAGCTTGTAGTTTCTGTATGTATTTCCACACGGTCGCTCACCCACCACGGGCTATCGCCGACCTCACACTGCCGCGGCCCGCGGCTCCCGTCCACCGCGTGCCGCACCGCGTGTCGCCGCCGGGGAGACATATGGCCGGCACATGGGCCCGCGTCGGCCGAGTCCGACCCCAGCCCCGTCCGCCCGGCCCGGGTCCGGGCCAGACCGATACAGTTACACCTGTGCTACTGTACCGCCGGTGGTGGTACTACAAGTCGCAGTTCGACCGGCCGCTGACCGTCGGTCGGTGCGGATCATCACTCACACCGGGTGCTACTAATGGGTTCCGAGTCCAGGAGGAACGGCTATTGGCGGACGGTGTCGGCTGCGGCGGGCTGTACCGACCTCGTAGCCCGGGGTGAACGGGCATGTGTCTCTTGTATTAGCGACCCCGACCCTACCCCGTCCCGTGGTTACAGGTGACGCTGTCCACCCCACCCACAATAAGTGGAACACCGGAAAGCTGTGATAACGAATGCTGAGCATGAGTCACTCTGCAGAGCCGGCCCTGGGCGATTATGTACCCCTAATGCTGGTATCCTTCCAGCACTGGTCTGTGCCTGTCTGACAGTATATTTGTTCATTTTCAGCTCCGAGTTTCGTGGGCTCGATGGACTACGGCGATCACGTGTACTTCTTCTTCCGAGAGACGGCCGTCGAGTACATCAATTGCGGAAAGGTACGTCTGTGCGTCTGCGGTACCCGGCGCTCAATGTCGTGACGGCTCTGGCGGGGCTGGACTGCAGCCTGCGAGATCAAACACGATTGGCGGGACCGTTTTGGTTTGGTATTGGCTCGACATTGATCTTGAGACGGGCGACATACGTGAGCTATGCGGCGGGCCCCTGCCTCCGAGTTTGGTGCTGCGGTGCTGCTCGGTGCTCGTACTGAGATAAGGCATGCTGGTTAAACACTGCGGTCGGTAAGATCAGAACGATCACAGCCGGCTATATGGCGACGGCCGACAGAAATATCATTGTCATGTTTCCTGACGAATGCAAGATACAATCTGGCAGCCTATCTTAAACGGGACTGTCGGCTTTTATGGCCTTGGGATTAGAGATCTTGTTCTCACAAATGCCTGCGTTTGTGGTTGGCCTTCGGAGCTCCGTCGCTTACTGCGCCGCCCGCGGTCTAATCTGCTGTGTGTTTTGTTCTCACAGCGGTCCTACTCTCGGGTGGCACGAGTGTGTAAGAAGGACAGAGGCGGTCCTTACAAGTACAAGAACAAGTGGACGTCGTTCCTCAAGTCACGCCTCAACTGCTCCATCCCCGGAGAATATCCGTTCTACTTTGATGAAATTCGTAAGTACCTACTCCAACGACCATGTTACTGTTTTGACTCGCTAACACAAGCGGCACGTCAGTTGCTGGGTGCTATTTGGTTTGTTATTGTTCGTTAAGTCAGCAGAGCTGATTGATAAAGACGGATAAGGCTGCCGGCTCAGCCTGTTAGTCATGATTTCTGTGAAGTTATACACGGTGTCCAGTTTTAATGCTCTGTACCGTTATTGGGGCTCATTCGGGGCGTCACATCCCACCTGCTGGGCCCGGCCAGCCGGCTGGCTGCCCACGCGCCGTGAGATATCCCTCAGAGGTGACCTCCGCCGTGATCGGAGCAGCGCTGGCCGTGTGACTCCTCGTGACTGACCGGTCCGCATCCCCTGTTCGTCGTCAGAGTCGATTTCGACGGTGCAGAGCGGCGTGTACGGCGGCCGGCCCGAGGAGGTGCTCTACGCCGTCTTCACCACGCCCGTCAACAGCATCCCCGGCTCGGCCATCTGCGCCTTCCGCATGGCCGACCTGGTCGACACGTTCGCCGGCGCCTTCAAGCACCAGGAGGACATGAACTCCAACTGGCTGCCGCTCAAGAACTCGCAGGTGCCCAGTCCGCGACCTGGCCTGTGCGTCAACGACTCTCGCCAGCTGTCGGACGCGCACCTCAACTTCATCCAGTCGCACCCGCTGATGGACGGCGCCGTGCCGTCGCTGCACGGCCGGCCGCTGCTGGCGCGCACCAGCCTGCGGCACCGCTTCACCAAGATTGCCGTGGACCCGCAGGTGCAGGCTGCCGACGGAACACTCTACGATGTGCTCTTCATCGGAACAGGTGAGATGAAGGGTTTACCGGCGCATACTGTCACGAAAGCAATGGAAACGGGGCATAAGGATTTTGTTTTATTGACATGAACATTAAATCGTGCAACGGTGAGCACATAGTTAGCCTTACTTCCCGCATGGCCGTCTTGGGACGGTTAATGACATCAGGACTAACTCGCGTCTTCTCCGTCAGACAACGGCCGGGTGCTGAAGGCGGTGAACGCCGCCTCTGGCTCCGGCACGGTGCGCGCCGAGCCCGTGCTCATCGAGGAGCTCGAGGTGCTGGCCAACGGCGCGGCCATCACCAACCTGCTGGTCTCGCGCCAGCCGGACGCGCCGCCGCGCCTGATCGTCGTCACCGATGACGAAGTGCGCGCGCTGCCGCTGCACCGGTGCGGCGACAAGGCGTTGCGCTGCGCCGACTGCGTGCGCCTGCAGGACCCGTACTGCGGCTGGGAGGCGGCCGGGCAGCGGTGCGCGCCCGTCGACTCGCCCGCCTGGCCCGAGGGCGTGGCCGTGGTGCAGAACGTCAGTCACGGCGTCCACCCGCACTGTCCGCCCAGTGAGTACCCTCCCCGCCCCCGCCCCCGCCACCGCCCGACGAGTGTCGACTGGCAGCGAGCGGTGGCCTCGCTGAGTTTGTTTGCCGACCGCTCTGCCGAGTGGCGTGCGTGGTCGTTTGTTTCAGTTAAGATGATAAAGTTCCGGCATAATTCCTTCTCTGCAACACGCTTAACTGGCTCTTGTGTCAGATGTCGGACGCAAGGCGCTGCATCAAAACTGCGGCGAAATTCAGGAAGCTACCGCTGTTTAACTAAGCCACGGCGTTTTTATGGAGATCGCGGAAAGCGTCCGACTCGTGTTGATGTGAACAAGGCGACCATAATGATGCGAGCGGTGACTGGTTGCAACGTTCCTAACATGGCTTTCTTCGTTTTACAGGTCCAGATCGGGAACCGAAAATTCTCTACCAGGAGGCAACGAGTAAGTATTCATTCAGTAAAGCTGCTTTATGCATTTGTGCATTTTGTTTTGTTGCTTTTATTCGGCACTTTTTGTTTTGTTTACGTTGCACAGCTGCTATATTATTTATCTGCACTGCCGGCACGCTACTGTTTGGTGTTCGTCCGCCTGCCTGCCTGTGTGTCTGTGCGAGTCGGCTGTGTATGTGCGAGTCGGCTGTGTCTGTAGCGGCGGTGTGTCTGTCTGCTTGTTGTAGCTCCTCCCAGCACGGCGTCCAGTCCTCCGGAACCGTGTGTCTGCGGCTCCGGGTCGGCTCCGGCTGGCTCCGGGCAGGACTCCGACTCGGACTCGGATTCCGACGTCCGGCTAGGTCAGTAAGACTCGAGAGCGACGGCGAGCCGCGGCCCCGCACACCGGATCAGCGATCACATCGTTACACTTGGTCATCGAACTTGATAGTCGCTGCGCTGCGCTTAATCGTCTCCTTTTAAATTCTTCGCTTTACGATTTATTTTCTGCATCAAAATGATTACTGAACATGATAAATAATACTAGATTTCACCTCCTTTAGTTTATTTGGATTACGTTAGCTATATGCATAAACAACACTGGCGATGGAAACCGTCTATACCGTTAAAAAAGTGAAGATGATTGTAACAGTCTTCAAGATGATTAATTTCTAGTTTTCCTGTCTCTCCGTTTGCGTTGTGAGTGGTTTTCTGAAGAGCTCCACGGTCGGTCCGTTACAGAACGAGGTCGGTATAACGCGCTGGAGCGAGGCCATAAGGTACTGGACATTCTGGAGCAGCCGAAGGCGTCGTACCCGGGCGCTGGTAAGTGTTCCCTCCCTTCTGCTGTGGGACCGCCCGCTCCGGCCGGGGCTATGTTCGATACCGTGTGCTCCGCCGCAGCGCAACGGCTGAGCGATGGCATCTCAAGACCGGCTCGGTCGCGATGTTTAGAAAGCATGCGCATGGTAATTGGCTGCACTGGCTAGTGCACGCTCACATGTAACCATTTGATCCTGCACATTTGCCTTAGTTGTGCTTATTTTCAATTTAGCGTCTTTTTTATTTCGTTTCATGATGAGATCGTCATAATCTGCATCGTTTTGGGTTGTGGTGCCCGTAACCCATGATCTTAATCTTTGTTGTTTGTTGCCGGCTGTCCGGTCGTCACTGCCGTCCCGTCACGATGGCTGGTGACGTTACTCTGTCCGTCACTGACTGCAGTAACGCCGAGTGACCTGTCACTGTGTGACGCCCCCGTTTCCTTGTCTCTGTTTAACACCCCGTTCCCGTGTCCGCTCTACAGAGTCCCAGTTTGTGACCGGTGTGGAGCCGGCCGTCTACTCGGCCGAGACGCTGGCCGTCGCCGTGGTCACCACCTGCCTACTGGCCATGGTGATCGGGTTTCTGGCCGGCTGGCTCTTCTCTCGACGCTGCTGGCGAATGCGCAATGAACCCTACTACGAAACTCCGCACCTGGATCACCAGTCCAAGATGAAACAGCTAGAGACGGCGGCCGCCCAGGGCAAGCCTGATAACAGGTGCGCTGACCATGCAATTAGGCCCATTTCCTCGTGATTGTAGCGATTGTAACAACAAGCATCACGTGTGCCGTGGTTCATTGTAACTCCGGATGTGTTCTTTGAGGTGACACATGTCTATTGTTTGCTTGTGGGAGCGGACATAGCAATGTAGTCATATCCCGGTAAATGATTGGTGAATTCGATATTGAACGCTCTACTGACTGGTGCCGTTTCCTGCCTCAGGTGTGACCAGAATTTCTTGAACACCGAACCTCCGTCAGTGCTGCTCAGCAAACAGATCAACTTGGTGGTCAACCAGACCAAGAACAGCAACGGCAAGAACGCCAACTCGGCCGCCGATAACAAGCCGCTGCAGAAAGTGCGCAAAATGTACTTGTAGTGCGCACCGCCGGCAGCGCAGCGCCCCTAGCGGTGAACTGTGGAACTAGAGCGGCCGGTCCGCCAGCGCAGTGCAGTGGACGCTATTGGTGGGCGGGCGGTGGCGCCGCCGGCGGGGACTGGCGACACTCGAGCTTCAGCTGCCGGCCACCAGGGGTGGAGCGGCCGGGCGCCGCGCCGACCGGCATGGCCAGGAGTGGTGAACGGCGCACACTGCAGCTGCATTACGAGTTCTGTACAAATGTAGATAGCGCGACCGAGGCCATGTTGTTATTGTTGATCGTGTTGGTGTCCGCCGAAGAGATCTTTATCGTCTAGCTCGTCGAGGAGCCGAGCGCCAGCCGCGCGCTGCGTGCGGTCGTGTGCCATTGGAGATTATGCCGCGTGTAATCCATGTCCATCTCGCGTTAATCATGCCCATCATCCCGCCGCTGTCATCTCACCTCATTCAGCTCGTGGCTCCGACGCCGGCGTGGGGCCAGGCATGTCCGTGATGCTCTGTTGTGGTGACAGTATGCTGCGTGACGTTGAAGTGTGACGATAGGGTGTCTGTTGTGGCGTGGTGATTCGAGGCGCCCTTCTATTGGGCTGAATGCCTTGCCCTTTTCCCCCGCCGACTCACGTTGACTATCATTATTTTTGGGCCTTTTGGCTCGTTTTTGACAGATTCCTGAAGATGAGACAATAATGTGGAAAATATCGGCTCCGGGTCTGAGGGCTATTTATTTGTTTTAGCGCACTATTGTGTGCAAATTGACCATTTTTTTGTGACTGCTCTGCTTCGTTTCGATCCGATGACGTCATTTACAATCGGCGTGCTGCGTGTGACTGCGTCCGGAGCATACCTCCGACCTCCGCCCCGCGGTCCGACCGATACAGGTGATCAGACCTGTGCCTTGACATGTATGTAGAGCGAGTGTTAATGCCGAACGATAGACTGCAGAGAGTGATGAGTGACTAGTACGAGTGTCAGACCGAGCGCATTTTACAGTCTATTATTTTCAGACATAGTGCTTTATGTATTGTGTATTGTGTAAATAACGTGAAACATCAATATAAATGTGTAATACCGACAAGAGCCTATTATGAAAGTTCACCCGTCTATGCGGAGTTCATGATGACCATGTTTGAACTTCTCGTATTGCCTCAGACCAAGTTTTGCAATAACTCCATCGCCCATCGATTTAGCATTTACTACCAGTAAAGGCTTACGTTTGTAAGAGGCTTAGGTACACCAACGTCTCTATGGAAAGGGTGGATTCGACAAACATTTGGCAGGGACGCTAATTTTCGCAAGGTGATTTATGGTTTTCGATGCATTCGGAGGCAATTAGTTTGTCGAAATATCCACTGATGATTGCGATGGTATACCGGCTTACTAGCTAGTGGATTTGACACGGAACGTATGCAATGCATTTACAAGTCGGAGTGTTTTCCTGTCGATCGGAGTTTCCTTTCAGACACCTAGGAAAGTTGTAATCAGCAGCACATCACAATATATTGCAGTGTCATGACACAGTATCATGAATACAAAATAAGCGTATCACAGCCAAAACAAATGCACGATTCCGCACGAGTCGCGGATAGTCGCCATCCAGTACAATGTCCCTCCTCCAAAATGTTGCAGTCACATCCCGAGCTGCGTGGAGCGCGAATGAAAGCTTAAACGCTGCAGCGTGAGCAAGCAGGGTCGTGCTAAACTACGAACACAATACACACGCGTGAAGACGGACACTAGCAACCTTCCTTATCGCACGCACCGTCCCACAGCGCGCACGCACGCACGCACGCACGCACGCACGCACGTCCACGCATCCTCCCTGAGAAACCACGCCCCGGCTCGGGCCTTGTCTCGCCGGCCGTGGAGCGTGGTGAAGTATAAAGTGGTCAGTGACGGCTGACGACGGCCGACATCCATCACGTGTCCAGAATGAAAGGATATGGACTTTCCAACGTCGACGCCATAGCCGCAACAAACAATGACGTGTGTTCTTTACACGGAAAGATGTAAACGGAACAGGCGGGGATTACGTTCTTTCGACCGTATGTACACTCGGGTGAGTTTAATGCAAGCAGTGGAAATATTTTGTTGTTCTTCAATGCGGCTTCACGGATTGCACAATTACTGAGAACTCGATGGGCATAGAAGGCGATCAAATAAGCCGATCGACGACCGTCTGGGCACGCAACATTTTTCGGACAAAACACCTTCCCTATGCACCCGACTGGAGAGACTTCGCAATGCTTTCGGAGTCAGCACTGCGCTTACACATAGGTACACTTATGGGGACCCGGCAAAGGAACGGTGAAAATCTCAGCGCATGGTGAAACTAATCTCACGATTGTACAAACATCTAAGTCTATAAATGAAACAGAAGACATCTGCCAGAGGACGGACAAGGACGAGCATGATACGAAAAGCGCACTTCAAAGGAAAGGGGCGAGCGGCGGATCAAAACACGATCAAAAATCAAATCATATAAGCTTTCACATGGTACATATAATCAATGACCGTAGCACATCACATAGCGTCTAATCTCTACATCGAAAGTATCACGTTCGACTGAGTCGCGATGCCGCCTATCCTATCGAGCCGAAAGACGCAACTCGTCAGTGACGCGACCCGATTCAGGTCAGGTCGACCCCTTTGACCCGACCTTCGTTGGGATGACTGATACCCGAACATGAAGTGACCTCTGGTGACCAGACTCTGTCCCCGATGAGGTCACCGACGGGCGACTGCTGCTGTCCTTCTGATGCGATGATCCCGGAGGCTCACAGCGGTGCCGGCCGAGAAAGCCGACCGCAGGAGCTTATACTGGCCTGTAACGTACAGCAAACGCGTCGTCAGCCAAGTCCATTGACGGGACAAATCGCAAATGCCAAAAAATCATGACACTGCAAGGCACACTGAAGGTCAGTTTAAAAATATTGCACATTTATATATGCTATATCCTAAGCCAAGACGTGATACTTCGGCTGAAAACTTTAATTCACAAAAGTACATATGTGAGGTGCAAACAACTGTCTGAAGAGTTAACTGTACCTTTACAGGGATGTGTCGCTGGGAGAGCCGCCTCATCCAAATGCGCACGGGTTGCGACTTTGCCATCCCTCGCACGGGCCCTGGTCACGGCTCGCGACCCGTCACCGGGCCCCGGAGCGACGTCGCCAGGTCACACGCCTCGAGGTCGAGGTCATTCACTGGCGCCGCGGGTCCGCACCGATTCACTGGCGCCGCGGTGGGTCCGACATCGTCTTAGTTCCACGACCCTTCACTGCGTGCGTTGACCTTCTCCACGCGGCGACTCAGTTCATCACGAAACACATACACTACAAATATGCACTCCGCTTCTTTTGCAACGTATCGTAGCCAGGCTCTATTTCTGTTTTTCTGTCCATAGTGGGCTTAGTTTGGTTCACTACTATGTTGATCTGTTTGCCGTTGTTGCCCACGAAGCTGGTGGGCTCGGGGTTCGGCTGCGTTTGCGCGATGTCGCTCCTGCGGAAGAAGGCATTCATTAGATCCTGATTGTTTGCATGAGCCATGAACAGCCATTGGATTAAACAGAGCATATATCTAACAAGCGCAAACCGGTCCCCCCAGCTATAGCCTTGTGCTAGCGGGGATGCAAAATTAAAAAAAAAAAAATGCATTGCGGTGCGTCTCTGACCTGTTGTCCGTTTTGACGGGGAGGGCCACGGTATCGGCCTGTTTGAGGCACGTCGAGTCCGTCTCGTAGTACTTCGTTCGCTGCTGGTTGCGCGTCCAGCGTCGAGAGAACAGCCAACCGGCCAGGAACCCGATCACCATGGCCAGTAGGCAGGTGGTGGTCACGGCCACGGCCAGCGTCTTGGCCGAGTAGACGGCGTCCGACGAGTCCTGCTCGCGAGACTCTGGAACGGGAGAGAGCGAGAGCACTTGTCAGAGGACAGCTTGAGATGCGCCGAGTCGTTGACAGGGTATTCATACAAGGTCAGGAGCTAAAGGGGTCCTTGACGGCACCACGTAAACCACGTACCGTAAAGTGGGGCTATTTGAGACAGTATTTAAAATCGCTATACAATGAAAAGAAGATCGCTTGATTTTTGTGTGATATTTTTGCTCAGGGAGGTGTGGAATCGAGCAGTAAATCACCTCAGCAAAAATTAAGCAAATTTCAAACGGTTTTTATTTTATAACAATTTTAAAAACTGTCTCAAATAGCCCCACTGTCTCAAATAGCCCCACCTTACGGTAAGCCTTTGCCTTTGTGAAGCAGAATTTGTTCATGATTGATAAACAAAGAAGACCAAAAATTAAACAAAATATGCGGCCAGTATGGGTAGAAATCCAAGCTAGTCATTCAAAAGCGCGAACTAGAACTGATGATAGTGGCAAAGAAGATTGTTTCGAAAGCTGCTAAGTTCCCAAGAGCAATCTCATAGATCGGGCAAATAGAAGCACCCAAGTCTTTTCCAAAGCCCGTGTGTGATCCCATTCACCTTGCGGGCTTCGCCTGGCTAAGAAGCAGCATACGATGTGTTTGTTTAGACGGGACAAGACCCACCACCACTAGCACTGAAGCGATAGAGGCGGCTAGGCTCTCGGGACGTCACCCTTACCTGTCGCCTGCCCGAGGGTGTACGACTTCGAGCGTTCAAGGATGTCATACACCTTCCCAGTCTCGTCAACCGCACTGTACAGTTCTCTGTCATTTTTCGTTTCTGCGAAAACACCATCGATGCGTTATTCATTAACGCATTTCCTTTTTAATTCGACATTTTCATTACGATATCGATACGATTAAAATATTCCGTCCTTTAAACAAAATTAATTCCGTTGAAACAATGGTGCACGTGAGGGAATTAGCATTCGCAATTGTTAATGGTCATGGCCTTTGTTTCAAATATAATAAGCCTAACGATGCTAAACGTCTAATCAAATAAAGTATTAAGCATGCAAGCACAACAAATCGTACTGAGAATCTACCATGGCCATAGGCTTTGTGGATTGCAAAAAATGTCAGATGTTCTTACTGACCTAGCAGCTCAACGATGCTCGTGTCGTTGTCAGTATCGATATCCTCGTCGGTATCGGTATCTGTATCTGTGTCTGTATCGGTATCTGCATCGGTACTGGTTCCGGAGTCGGAGCCGGGTCCGGATCCGGCCGGAGCCGACCCGGAGCCGCAGACACACGGTTCCGGAGGACTGGACGCCGTGCTGGGAGGAGCTACAACAAGCAGGCAGACACAACGCCGCTACAGACACAGCCGACTCGCACAGACAGCGCGCAGACAGACAGACAAGCAGTCACGTGGAGCAGCAGAGTGCTCGGCAGTGCGAATAAAACGGTGCTGGTGCCCCGCGTGTAACAAAACTGCGTGTAAAGGGTGGCCGGTCCAAGATAAGAGAAGGACATCAATGTCGAAACAGACTAAAGACGTGATGTGCAAACTGGCTACTACCCGAAACAATGCATAAAGGAAACACACATCCACCAGAAATGTGTAAAGAAGACTTACTGGGAATAGTCGCAAAGTACAGCTCCTCCTCGTATCGGGCGTCGTCTGAAAAAGAGAGCATTGTAAGATAAAGTCAAATTGATAACATTACACTTATTACATTACAGTTGACTAATTGCATTCACGGATAACAGCATGTTTATCTAAATGCGGAAGCGGGCAGTGACCGCTGGTATTATGTAAATATTACCCAATACGGATGAGCCAGCCTGTTTTATATAAACGTTACAGCGGCTCGGAATATATCAATAATAATGATACGACGAACATGTCTGGTTAGATTAATAATTATGACTTCAGACGATTCAAATTATATAACTACCGGACAATTAACGATAAACGAGTCTCTAAAACAGCCAAATATTTAAGAAGTGCTTCAGGTACTTCACCAGAGAACAACGGCGACCCAATGTGAGACGATGCCCTTTGTGACGTTTTCAGAATTCACACGCATGACTTGTTTTCCTGGTTAAAACAGCAGCATTTCTCAGCATACTTATATGAAGCGGATAGTTGCACGTTTTGTCACAGGCCTAACTAGGCAACAATGTTTACACCACTCTCGC